TTAAAATTGCTGTTTTTTTGCTGCTGCAGCATGAATCTGTCTTATCGTCAAAGGAAATTCCTGGCATTACATCTACTGACAAAGGGGAGGGAAAAGTTAGCAGAAGAGTTCAAAATACTCAGAGTTGAGAGATTTTAAGCTCTTTTAACTATAGCTTTTGTACGACTGCCTCCATTATCTCAGGCTGAGAGAGCAACGTGTTTCTGCGATGCACCTTTATTGCATGCATTTAAAAAGATCAGGCAACAATGTTTTTTTTAAACATAAATATTTTCCTGGGTTTAAGAAAAAGTCATCCTCGTATTTCTTGAATTCAAACAAAATCGTTGAAAATGTGTACTGTGCCACTAGGTGGTGAGAATGTTCATATTGGTGCAAAATCGACTGCAGCCATTTTCCTTTTACACTTTTTATTGTGTTATCTCAGTTTGTATTCTTTTCAGTACACGATCAGATAGTCATTATTAGGCAGCCGACTCAGGACACGAAGGTCTCGGGTTCGATCCCCGGTCATTGCACAGCTTGTGGCGTCTCTGAGCAGGACACCTTATCCCTAATTGCTCCCCGGGCGCTTGCAACAGCTGCCCACTGCTCCACCTGAGGGTGGATGGGTTAAATGCAGAGAGCCAATTTCATCATTGTATGTTCCCATACAATGATGAAAATACATACACATTATTATTATTAATATTATTATTATTATTATTATTATTATTATTATTAGAGGATAAATTCAGACTTCTTCAGACAAATGTAAAAATAAAATCTTTAAAGCTGCTGTTTACATTTGCAGGGCAGCAAGCTCACAAAAATGAAGTTTTAAAAATTACTACTTTAAGAAGTACTTATGAAAATCTCTTTGTTTGAGGGAGTTGGTGCAAACAGCAGAACATTGAAAAATATCCATACTGTGGATACGGCCTCAGTGAAACTGTACAATGATGCTTCATGAAGACATTTTATATATAAAATGAAGATCCATCCAATCTGTCGACGAGGGAGAGGGCAGACACCGGAGGAGAGGGCGTGCCCCAGAAGCCATCTTAGCATCAACATAACTGATTTTTTACACTTTGGAGCATGCTGTTGGTGGAGAATTGGTTTTGTTTGGCGTTTCCTCAGACTGATGAAGCCCTTAGGATGGAGGGCAAAACATCTCAGCACAAAAAAAAAGACACCATCCAGATGACCTGACTGAACATTGTTGGATTTTATACCTGGATTATTGAGCATGAACTTTGGTGTCCATCCATTCTCTTTTACTTGTTCTGGAGTTGAGTCGCAGGGACAGCAGTTTGAGCAGGGAGGTCCAGACATCTCTTTCCATGGCCACCTCTTCCAGCTCTTCTAGGAGGACCCCAAGGCCCTCCCATGTCAGCCAAGAGACATATGGCGCTTTGCCACTATCTCTGCACTCACCTGTTCCACACCACACTGCAACAGTTAAAGGCCTGCCCACTGTCGGCACCCACCCTCACTCAGTCCGGTTTATGAAACCATCTTGTTTGTGATTCCAAGCGGACTGCTCCGAGGTGATGTTTTTTAAATAAGCGGACAGCAGCTGTTGATTGACCAGCGGAGCTACATCACTGGATGTGCCCAGGGAAGGAACATAGACTGACCGGTAAATGGAGAACTTCACCTTACAACTCAACTCCCTCTTCATCACAACGGTCCAGCACAGAGTCCGCAATACTGAGAAAGCTGCACCGATCCATCTGCCAATCTCCCGCTTCATTCTTCCCTCATGCGCCGCAGTATGACCGCACTGACGGGAGCTCCGCTTCGACTCGCTCTCTTTTTGTTACTGTTGTTTTTGTTTAAACTTTTTTTTTTTTTTTTTTTTGCACCTACACTGCACACCCACGCTACAGGTATGATCGCTACGCACTTTTGGAGTTTTGTGTGTCTCCGTCTTGCCATCATGCCGTCGTGGTTCAGTTCCCGACCCCCTTCCAGCCTCTGGCTTAGGCTCTAGCCTGTCATGGCGGGCGTCTCCATGATCCTCCATCTACCTGCACAGACAAAACTCTATGGAACAGTTTGGTTCCGTGGAGAAACCTTGGATGTTCTGTGTCTGCTGGACCCAGTTCTGGAGGGCAGTCATTGTCCATTGCTGCGGTCATTATTATCATCATGCTGCTAACAGAACCACACTGCTAACAGAAGCACACTGCTAACAGTACCATGGTGCTAACAGGACCCCACTGCTAACAGTACCATGGTGCTAACAGGACCACACTGCTAACAGTACCATGGTGCTAACAGGACCACAGTGCTAACAGAAGCACACTGCTAACAGTACCATGGTGCTAACAGAACCACACTGCTAACAGTACCATGGTGCTAACAGAACCACACTGCTAACAGTACCATGGTGCTAACAGAACCACACTGCTAACAGTATCATGGTGCTAACGGGACCACACTGCTAACATTACCATGGTTCTAACGGGACCACACTGCTAACAGTACCATGGTGCTAACAGGACCACACTGCTAACAGTACCATGGTGCTAACAGAACCACACTGCTAACAGTACCATGGTGCTAACTGGACCACACTGTTAACAGTACCATGGTGCTAACAGGACCACGATGCTTAGAGAACCACTCTGCTAATAGGACTACTATGCTGTTAATGGGACCATGTTTCTAAGAGAACCTCACTGTCAACAGAACCACTCTGCTAGTGGGACCATGCTGGTGTAGCTGTATTTCTTTTTCACTTTTGACACCGTTTTTGTATATTTTTGCAAGTTTTGATATTTCTTGTTGTGGTTTTGGCAAATCGAGACGGTTATTCTCGTCCTGAGCATTTCATTGCATTGATGATGTTGTGGTGATCTGCATCTGACAATAAAGCTAAACTTAAACCTAAACTTGTGAACAAAACCCCGAAATACTGGAACTCCACCACCTAACTCTGACCTGGAGTATTTCATATGAAGATAGGAAATGTAAAAGCTACTAAAAGATAAGACTGTTTTGTTTTTTCAAACACATTTCCCTTTATTGGCATGGTGAGGCTGATGAGAATTGCACATAAAAAGTAAAATTCACAAGAAAGTAGTACAATAGGTAGAACCACAAAGGCATTGGTAAGGACCTGGCAGAAGGCAACGTGGATAGGACACAGACAGGTAACAATCCAGAGCAGCTACCCCCCTCCCCACAATCCCTGAAACACACATCTCTCACACACCACACACACACACACACACACATTTACCAAAAGACATTTTGTCCTTCCAAAAGAAACATGATTACCCAACAAATGTTGAAGCAGTGGCAACATACTCAACAGTTCAAATTATTAAAAAGTCCGCCCAAGTTGAAATTTGAACCAGGAGATGTTTTTAACATATTGCTAGTGTAAGCAATTTACAAAGCTTTTTTTTATTATTACAATGATTAAAGCCACATCTATCAAATGGGACACGACACCATTACCCAAACGCTATACAAACAGCAAAATAAAAAAGTGAGAAAAACAATTAAACAGGTGACTTTTTCTTTTGTCTTCCACCAATTTTTGTTTTCGTGTTTCATAAAACTCTCGTCTTCACAGTCGAACTCCATGAAAGAGAGCCGGTGATCGGCGAAGCTCATTACTTGGCTCGTGCTTGGAACAGGATATTAATTGAACCAGAAACCGCAAGGTTACCTTCTGTCACGTTGACGGCGATGTGAAATCCAGGCTTGGATGGCGGGGGGAGGGGTTTGACAGGACACCGCAGGCAAAAACGTCATTTAAAATTTGCCTGTTAAGAAACCCTTAGTAGCTCGGGCTGAAACCGAATGCTGTCCGGTAAACGGCCATGCACTACACAACAATCGACTCGACAGGACGGTTTCACACACAGGTTGGAGCTAAGAGCCACATTTGCACAGACGTCACGATATGTGTGTGTTACAATCACACAGACTCCAATATATATCTTAAAGGGTGGGGTCACGATGTGCAACAATCGCCTCACATCGTGTGATGAAACGAACACATCGCAGGAATCATCCCAACAACCAGCGACTGGGTAATGGGTCAAGTCCAAATAAAAAAAAAAGGTATAATAAAATTAAAAATCCCACAACATTAGGAGCTAAAATACAACTCTGAAAAATAATTTATTGCTTTTTATATTATTTTTTTCCTTCATTTATATTATTACCATTATTTATCTCCTTGTATTACTGTGAATATTATCAGTGGTATATATATATCTATATTCTTTTTTTTTTTTTTTTTACATCAAATACAAGATTCATTAAAAAATTCAGGGGAAAAAAACGGAATTGTAAACTTCAGTTTGGCATTCAAAAAATCAAGCATGAGTGGAGTGCTGATGGTTTTTATACAGTTGCATAAAAGATAAAAAAATTATCCTGCAAAATCATTTTATTGCTTCGTGTTTGGTGTTGGAAACTCCCCCAGTGTTTTACTGCAGATCTGTTTGATTTTGGAGACAGGTTGCCCCAAAAAACAACAAAAAATATGCCTTCCAAAACGAAACAACCAGCTAATCAATCTAAAAGATAAGCTAAAATTATCCCCATCAAACTGTTTACTTTACACCCTGTCTTGTGATTGCAAGTTAAATAAAACAAATCAAATATCACAACATAAATAGGAAAAAAGGTACACCATGCATATTGGAGTCCATAAATATATATATTTTCTGAATAAAATATTAAAATAAATACATAAATATGTCTGTGCTGATTTGAACATCTTAAATGTTGATTTAATGTAATCAAAAAAGCTTTAAAAATAAATCAAAATTAACAGTTAATGATAAATATTTTTTAAAATGGGGTCTTTTTTTTTATACAATCATGAAAAACGTGTTAAAAAATGTATTTTACACTGGTTGTATAAGCAAAAACACTGATTATCAACAGAGAAAACTATACACGCTTGACTTTTTTCCCCCAACAAAATAACTTAAAAAAGGACTTTTGTTAACACTCTCCTGCAAAATGAGCAAAGTCTTTACTTTTTCTTTCATTTTTTTTTTTTTTACAATCATATTATGTCTTTCAAACATCATGTAGGTGTACAATATGTTTTACAGTATTGTAATTACTACAGATCAACATTCGGAATTAAGAAATTTTCTTTTTCTTTATTTTTTTTAAAAAAAGGCTGCGTTTTACAGTGCATAGCTGTAACAAATAAAGAACTTTGATATGTACATAAAATAAAAAATATTCCGATTTTTAATAGGGTTTGTAAATGCACAGCTACATTTTTTAATAAAATGTAGACAACAATTAGTTTTCACCTCCAAGATATAATTCCCTATATTCTTGCTTGTAATGTAACACCAGATCCAAATGCCAGAAAGTAAAAAAATAATCAACAGCAAATAAAACAAAATCTGGCTGAACAAGCTGCATGTCTTCACCCCAAAAAGAATTGTGGGTATTGTAGTGCTTGGAGAAAAAGAAATCCTACAGGTTGTTCCTTCTGTCACTGGCCGTTCAGCAGTAGAGTGCATTAAACCTGGTTCTGAGGATCCAGAACCGAACGTCTCTTTCCCAGCTCTTCAGCAGCCGTGTTCATGTAAACTTTATTTTTAATATATTCATTTCTACCGATGCAGGTCTATGTGTTCTCAGATGCTCTCAGAGAGAGCGTAAAACTTCTGGTGGTCTCGTCGTCGAAGGAGCGAGAAACGACCGTGAGGTATGAGGAGTTCCTTTTTGTGGCAGACAGCGGGCGCCACACAACCGGGTTACCTTTTCAGGCTGCACTGGGCCTCCCTCAGCAAGCTGTCAAAATCCATGGAGTCATACTTGCTCTTTGTGGAGGCTGGATCAAAGTCGTCCGAATGGGAGTCTGGAGGAGGGAAGGGGACAAGCAAGGTTGTGGTTAATGTTAAGCAGAACGGAGTTTCTTTGAAACAAAACGAAGGCTTCACCTTGGTGTTCTCAGAGGAGTTTATGGCCCGAGCTCAAAGAATGCTCCGCTATTACACCGATAGCACTCAGTCAGGCGGAGCTCCAGTCGGAGTTTGATACATTTTAGCCCGAGACGTTTATAGCATCCTCTTTGTCTTTGGCACTGCAGGAAGTGCAGCCGTGCCAGACTTCCACAAAATCATAAACCATCAAATGAAACGTGACTGAATTCCAGGTTAATGCGCAACCAAATGTATACCCTTGTTGACCTGAAGGGTCTGGCTGGAGTAAACAGGTTTAAAAGAATTGTCAATCAATAACTACAAGCTACAGCTGCATGGAAGCAGTTTAAAACATAAATGCATTTGAATCTTTGAAGATTTTTTGTGAAATATAAACACTGGAAAATGTCTGTGGCTTAGTTAAAATACTTTAAATAGATTTTTGTCTGTGAATAATTATTAATATATTTTTAGTCAAGTCAGCTACTGGGAATGAGTCCATTTAATTTCTTCAAGGGACAAAGAACTATGTTATTATAAAGATACCTTCCATTAAATTTTGTGTAATGCTTTAAAACTAGGACATTCTTGACTTTGTAAACACTTTATAAAGCATTTCTAAACCAAGTTACACAGCACTGCTCATACACTGAAGAAGGTTCACTATTTGGCAAGATTAAAATAAAAAATAAAATTGTGTTTATTTAGCTTAAGTATAGTTTCTTGCTAGTTGCTCAGCTTATTTGCATGCAACCTGCATCATGAAGGACCCCACTCACCCAGCACAAACACTTTTTGCCCCGCTCCCCTCAGGAAGGAGGTTAAAGAGCATTAAGTGTAGAACCACTAGACTGAAGAACAGCTTCTACCCTGAAGCTGTTAGACTCATGAATATCCAACCAGAATAATCACTGTGAAAAAATCACCTCACGTTGCTGCTGATCTGTTTCACGATGCTGCTTCTGTTTCATGTTGCTGCTTCTGTTTCATGTTGCTGCTGATCTATTTCACGTTGCTGCTTCTGTTTCATGTTGCTGTGTTTATTCATATTCATCTGTTCACACAGACTCGTGTTCATGCTGCTGTTTGACATATTGTGTTTATGCTATTAGTGCTTAGTGCATTTTTAGTTAACATTTTTCTTAGTTCATATCTTAGATTTTATTAATGTTTTTCTTTTACATTTCAATAATTTTATTGAATGTAACTGGGACCCTGGGCATAAAATTTCGTTCCACCACATGCGGTATGAATGACAAATAAAGAACCTTGAATCCTTAAATCCTTATTTTTTAAAAACTAAAAGCTTTACATGCCAATACAATCTATTTCTACTCAAATATCCCAATAGCACTATAAAATATAACATGTTATGTTATGATGCTTTGTGACGTACCGCATTGTATTTGTCTGAATGTGGATCTTTCTGGCACGTATCTGGGACAGTGCCACATCCAGAACGAGTTTTCCAAAAGTTATAATAAAATGTATCGTATCGCATCGTATCGTTTTGTATCGTATTGTATCGTATTGTAATGTGCTATTGATATTCATGTTTTAAAACTAGGTAACTACTTTACTTTTACGTCGTTTGAAAGCATAGCTTTGAAACATTTCATGCCTCCAATTATTAAAACTCTTGGTACGCAAAATATAATTCATTGTTGTTCATGTGGAACATTACATACTGCAGAATATTCAGTATGATGAATGTTAAATGGCAGCACACACGCTGTGAAGTATTTTGGCCTTTAAAAGTCTACTTCAGTTGAAGAAGCATAGCAGGACAAAAGCATAAAACCTTGGGACAAAGGCAGCTGGTTTTAAACTGCTTCCCTCCCTCCGTCCATCTTTCCTATGTCCTGTTTATCTTGATCAACCTGATAATACATAAAAAGTATCTTATCTGACCCAACAGACAGCTTCACAAATGGGGCTCCTACAGGGCCCAGCAGCATACTTCACAAGCTTTGAGAAATGGGAATGACCGTGGCAGCTAGGAGACGCCAGTTGTGATCTAAAGCATTGGCCGAGGGCTGGATTGTGTCTCGCCGCACACCTTGAGGGATGAAAAATACCCAGGTGCTACTTAAAACTAATGGACAGTGTCTGAGGAAGGGGGAAAAAAAACCATGAGAAAGGGTTTGGATACCACGGTACTTGAAAATGCTCCTCTCAATCTCGTTATACTGCGTTATCAATACGGGGATGACCAAAATAGCCTGTTCTTGACAAAGACGCAGCTGAATGAAGGTCCTTCCATTTCAGTAGACTGATTAGTCAATCTCAGTATAATGTCTGTCCTCAAGACTTCAGAATTAGTAACCATTTCTATGTCATGTACTCTGAAAAGGCTAATGGCTTGAAGTATGTGCTTGGAGAATGCATGATAACAGCATCATTTATTTAGAAAAGTGCTCTTTTTCTCCAAAATAACCTATTGACCCTCTTAAAGCAGTACATTTTAGATTTCTGACCTCATGCATTGCTGTTAAAATGTCAATACCCATCTTACGTTTCATCGGCAAATGGAAGAGGTGATCTTTTGTTGCTGTGCGAGAACCCGTAACAATGGGGCCTATTCCACCACCTTTAGTCGTCACACAGCTAACAGGAATAAAGAAAGTACTTGACTTTCTCCATAAAAAGTGGGGCGTCATGCAAAAGGAGAAAAAAAGCCTGGGATTGCTGATTGCTTGCATTATTTATCAAATGCATCACTCAGCCTTCTGCCATATCCTTTCCAGTTGGATTTCTTTTTGAGTGTTTGTGTAGGTTTACTCCAGGGAATCAGATAAACTCTGCTGTGCTGCAGCCTGCCACAAGTCCTACACACCCTGTAAAGGAACTAGGTCTGCGTAAGCCAAAGTAGCTAACAAGTATAGCTGCAGAGTTTTCCTTTTACTAACCATGGATATGAAAGTCATATTTACTTTTTTTCCAAGATGAAATGATTATACAACATAAAACTTCTATAGTTTTAAAAACAAAAATTGGTTGCACAAGTTTGAATTTATTGTGGATTTTTTTCTAATTCACATAAGGTCAAAAACATGCATAAGTGGTCTTCAAGGTTCTTGAATGCCATTTATCTTGACATGTCCAAGGCCTCTTAATGAGTTACTGTCATTGACTAGGATGGGTATTTGTTAGCATGAAACTGACTTGTTTACCATCACTTGTATAATCCTCATAATAATGGAAAAAGACCAAGGAACTCGATGAAGATCTTAGAAGGAGTATAAATTTGTTGAGATGTTCAAGAACCGATCGAAAGGGAGTCGGGTTCAGATACCCGAGCCCGGAGTGGCAGAGACGGGTGCCATGAAGCATCCAGTGCAGTAACGAAAGTGCACCCAGAGAAGCTGATAGGAGCCGCAGGGAGAGTTTTATTTTTTCTTGAAGTGCAGGGCACCCTGGAATGGGTTTGCCCCGAGAGAGGGGCCCGCGCCCTAGAAAGCGTTGCAGTTCCAATGGCGTCCAGTGAGCTCAGCCTCTGGCGTTAGAAGAAGGGAGATAGGGATGTCAGCAAGTCAGATCTGTAACTTGGGGAGATGGATTGGCTCCAAGGGCTAGGTCAGTCGGGCTGGGGTACAAAGCAACCTTGAGTACACAATTTCGTCCCACCTGATGTACCATGTGTGATGCAAATGACAATAAAGTCTCTGTGAACTTTAAACCTTGAACCACCGCGGCTCAAGCCTGCCACAAACTGGAAAATTCCACCAGTGTCCCTGTCTACAGTGAAGCCATCATCATGGACAGAGAGGGTCCACATCAAGAAAGACGCTTCAACTTCAAAAGCAATGCTTTCAAGCTCTACTGAGATTTGCAGCTGTTCACATAAGCAAATGTCTTTTATGGTCAGACAGACAAATATGGAGTCGTCTCTGAACTGATAAAGCAGGGGGTGTATGTTGTTCTTTCTGCTGCTCCCTTTTGCAGACTTTGCTACAGCGAATGAACTCCCATGAAAGATTTGACAATCATTCATGCCGGATGTCCTTCCAGACGCAACTGCGTTGAAACCCACAGCCTCATACTGTATATATTTTAACCTTATGTAAATGGACTGTACTTATACAGCACCTTTCTATCTTATCAAAACACTCAAAGTGCTTTACACTATAATCTGTGCCCTCATTTACCCATTCATACAGCACTCTACTATATCTATACATAGAATAATCAATGCTTTATCACATTCATACACTGATGGGACACACATCAGAGGCAATGAGGGGTTCGGTGTCTTGCCCAAGGACACTTCAGCATGTGACTGCTGTTAGAATCAAACCCCCAACTCTTGCATTGGAGGACGACTGCTCTAAACATTCAGCCACAGCCGCCCCTTATGTGAATCTAAAATAAACTTCACTCGGTGTACCCAAATCTTGTTTTTACAAATCACTGAGGTTACATATTGTATAATCATTTCACCCTGGAAAATGAAACGCCCAAAATAAGACGACATTCGTGCAAATGTTGGGTGTATGTAAACTTCTGAAACTAGATGTGCCACATCAAGCCTCAGCCTTAAGACATTTTCTCGACTTATCCTTTTTGCGCCTATTTTTGATCTCTTTCCATGTACAAAGTAATTTACCTCCTCGCTCTCCTAAAAGGATTCCCACATATATGTTTATGCCAACACACAAAAACACTGTATACATGGAGGCACAGGTGCTTTTAAGAACCATTTCGCACTCTGACGTCTTGCATTTCATACCAACGAAGTAAAAACATGCATCCGATGTCTACATGAGTAATGGAGTCTGCCTCATTTTTCTTAAGATACCACAGCTACTCGCAGAGAGGAAATGGAGCTCCATTCTCAGCATGTTCACATGCTGACCTTTGCCCTTGCCTTGAAATCTCGAGCAACAAATGGCTCGTGGAGATATTCAGTGCTGCATGAATCGGTATCAGCATAGAGATGGGGATGTTTTGATCTGGAAGCATCACTTAAGGCTTTTTGCCATCTTATTTTGCCCATGTATTTTTTTCCCCTTTTTTGTTCCTGACAGTATTCAAAGCACTCAAATATACAGCGGCAGCAGCCAACAGAGTGAACAACAAAGCTGCACTTACCCAAGTCTGTGTAATGTGATTTGCAGAGCTGCTTTTGTCCGCCGAAACACAACTCGAACTGAGGTTCGTTTGACCTGCGTAAGGTGTGTCCGTTCTCAAGGGCGGCAAAGGCGTCACAAGTGTAGCGGTACGTGATGAAGCCGAAATTGTCCCTGGACAGGAATAGAAAAAAGCACGTCAGTACGTTGCTGTGGGGTAGCAATGACTCAACAGAAAGGCCTCGTCTTAGATGACGATCACGCTATTTATATGCAAAAAAGAATCAATAAAGGTGTATCTGTTGAGTCTCTGTGGGCATACAAGCAGAAGAATCAGGAGACGCTCTGAGACTGCAAATTTATCTGTCAATTGCCTTAAAGTTTAGCAGGTACAGCAACAGATTTTTGTCAAACACGATTAAAGCGTTGGAATGTTTTGGAGTGGGGCTCTGTAAAAAGGATATGAACAAACAGGATCTTAATTTTGTAGGTAACTCTTTAATCGACCGCAGTTTGGAGAACTGGTTTAGTTGTGACCAGTATGAGCGGGATCCATACCAACCCCAATCTCAAAACGTTCATAGCAGTTAAACCTTTACATCGGTGTAGGTTTTACATTACATATACCGGTAATTATTTGGGTACTTGCAATCAAAAATAGTAGCAGCAGTTAGCTGTATCATTTCCAGTGCAGCGTGGGGGCACTGCCTGCAGGAATATCCTAATGTGTCTGCTGAACAAGTCATGTACTGTAATGTGAAAAGGACAATGGTGTAAAAACATAAAATAAAATAAAAACTGCTCTAAAATTTTTGAGTTGTTTAAGGCCAATTTACTTATTTATTTACCCTGTGCTAACTAGCCATTAGCGCTTCATAATAATGTAATGTTCGTAGGAATGTGGAGGGTGCTGTAGCACCATCTGATGTATGTGAGAGAACATGCATGTCCACATGCATAGTTAAGTATTGTACAAAAAATGTTATAAAAAAATATTAGTGCTACACAAATTCCAATTATGTTTTGATGTTAGTGAAATTTGTAAACATGGCGTATACTGGCATGGATAAAATGGTTGGTACCCTTCCATGATAAAACAAACAAAACAAACAACAAAACATGTGACTGGCCAAAAAACTCGAGTTTTGCCTCATCAGTCCCAAAAACTTCTATTGTGTTTTTCTGTCATTAGTGGAGCCCTCTCAGATCTTCTTCCATGGAGCCTATTATGATTCAAAATGTGATGGATTGTACTCAGAAAGCGATGTACTTTGACATTTGAGTTCAGCTTGGTATTGGATGGTCTCCGTGGCTCTTTTTTGGTCATTTTCACTTTCTGTCTGGTCAATTCAGGGTGGATTAACTCTTGCGTCCATGTTCTGCAAGACTGGCAACAGTCTAATGAACCTTATAATTTATGAAAAATAATGGCAGCTATGGTCAGAGGTACATGGAGCTTCTTGGAGACGGTCTTGTAATCTTTACCATGTACTGTAATTTCTGGACTATTAAGTGCACCTGAATATAAACCACGCCTGCTAAATTTAAAAAGAAAATTTTACATAAATGGGCTGCATTTGTCTATAAGCCGTGGGTTTTCATGTTGTAACATGAGATATTTATACAGAAAGATTATTATTATTATTATTTTACTTTTAATTAAGTACATACGGTAACACGCACAAATATACAGTAGTAAAGTAACACGGTTGATTAAAAGAAATACAGTAGTCTACCAGGAAGTCATTGATTGCTATCCCCCAAGCGAGATGTGTATTGGGCAGCTATGTGAGCGCCAGGGTGTAACGAAGCTAATTGTTTTGGTGGCATGAAGCTCGTTAGCCCATAAATAAAAGAAAAAATCCATAAATTAGCCGCAGCATTGGGTAAGCCGCGGTGTTCAAAGCGTGTGGAAAAAAGTAGCGGCTTATAGTCCGGAAATTATGGTACATCCACAAACTTTCTGAGCTTTCTCTGCTCAATGTTCAGTGTGGTGTGCACAAAGATGCCAAACGAGTATCCATCCATCCATCCATTTTCTTTGCCCGTTTATTCCATTTTGGGTCACGGGGGTCGCTGGTGCCCATGTCCAGCAATCACTGTGCGAGGGGCGGGGTACACCCTGGACGGGTCGCAAGTCCATCACAGGGCCCCAAACGAGTATGTTCCTTTTAAAAAAGCTGCATGCCTGATGAAAACCTTGCAAGTACCCATAACATTGAGGGTCAAACACTTAGTTCGAAACATGACCATAATATAAGAATTAATCACCTCTTTAACACATCTGTCCATACTAATTTAGAAGATCCTCAAAAGAAATCACAGACTAAATAGGCAGATTTTCATTAGACAATTGTCTTCAACTAAACCACCTTTCTTACGCTTTATCGATTCAATGAACCGTAAAGTTACAAACACATTTATCAGTGTCTGCAAGCCGCTTGAAATTTTCAAAAAAGTGATTAGATTAACATGAGGTACCTATTGCAACAATATAGACACTGTCTGTCCAAATTATACACACTGTACCCCACACACGTTTCTAATACCACAGGTCCCAACTAAACTCTGCTTTTCCAAACTGATCTACCCCCAACAGGTAAGATATTAAGTGTACACATTTCCACAGAGCACCACGTCAAAAGATTCAAACTAAAAGAGATGTTTTGTTAGTAAATCTAAAATAAAACTGCACCCATCCAACTAACACTAATGCTAGACTGCAGTGAAAAATCCTGAGGCCTTACCCATCATCCCTTAAGTTCAGTGCACATTCTTCAATTTCCCCAAAGACTTCAAAGCGGCGCTTCAACTCTGTTCGGCTGCAGTCGGACCTCAGTCGCCCCACGTACACCACCCGTCTCTCCTCCTGCTCGTTAAAGGGAAAGACAGAGGCGGACAAAGAGATTAAAAGGTGGGGAGACTGTTTTTTTCTCCTTCTCCTGTCTCTTTCTTCTCAAGACTTTAATGAATTGGTCTTGATCACTCCTGTGGATACTGCCGTTGCTGACTTTAGGGCTCTGTGTGTTTTTATTTTTTTTTGTCTTGTGTCCCCTCCGTGCTGTCTGCTTGCTGTGTTCATCTGTGATTGGTTCAGTTTGCTTGCTCTTATCTGATGAAGTAGCAGCTCGGGAGCACCTTCAATCTACCTTGACAGTACAATTCCTCTTTCTCTCTGCAACTCATCAACCAGAGGCGGAATGATTTTTATCAAATGATGCCAAGTCTCAAGTTCGGGGTTGCTTCGTCTTGTGTGAAGTCTAAAAATAAAGCCAAGGAGGTGAGTCATATATCAGAAAGAGTTTGGATAAAATACAAAAAAAAATAAAAAAAATTCTGCTTGCAAAGTGATAAAATCTTTGTAATACTAAAGGAATATTTAAACCCAAGATAAAGGTTTAAAAACACTGAGCCATGAGGCAGAACAACACAGATTTTCCTTGAACCTCAAAGGACAAGAGGGTCAAGTTGGAATAATTTTAGGAACAAACTGCAGAAGGCAGCAATTATGGCTTTTGAGTGGTTTAATTGCATCTGCTAATCATCTAATACAGTTAAGCCCTCGGGCTACAGTCCATCACCAACATTATTTATTTATTCATTCATTTACTCCCCACAACTGGGGCAAGTCCTCGGAGGCCTGTTGCAAATTTTAAAAGCCGTCCTGAGAATAACAGTAACATATATGTAAATGAGCTGCCTTGCGCTAAACTCAAAGTTCACCTTTGTCCACTCAGCTTATGGCCGAGAACAAATTAACCGCATATTAATGCTTTTCTCACTCTTTTTTTACGCTTACGTACTGTTTTAGACTAAAAACAGTCTTTGCTGAATTAGGGATTTTGTTGCTGACAAGTGATAAATAAGTGGTCTTTCCTTGATGGCACCCCGAGGGCTGCTCATATATATATATATATATATATATATATATATATATATATATATATATATATATATATATATATATATAT